TATTCAGTAGGCATAGATAGATCAAATGGGTTAATGGTAGTATTCAGTAGGCATAGATAGATCAAATGGGTTAATGGACTGAATCAGTGGTCATAGATAGATCAAATGGGTTAATGGACTGAATCAGTGGTCATAGATAGATCAAATGGGTTAATGGACTGAATCAGTGGTCATAGATAGATCAAATGGGTTAATGGACTGAATCAGTGGTCATAGATAGATCAAATGGGTTAATGGACTGAATCAGTGGTCATAGATAGATCAAATGGGTTAATGGTAGTATTCAGTAGGCATAGATAGATCAAATGGGTTAATGGTAGTATTCAGTAGGCATAGATAGATCAAATGGGTTAATGGACTGAATCAGTGGTCATAGATAGATCAAATGGGTTAATGGACTGAATCAGTGGTCATAGATAGATCAAATGGGTTAATGGACTGAATCAGTGGTCATAGATAGATCAAATGGGTTAATGGACTGAATCAGTGGTCATAGATAGATCAAATGGGTTAATGGACTGAATCAGTGGTCATAGATCAAATGGGTTAATGGTAGTATTCAGTAGGCATAGATAGATCAAATGGGTTAATGGTAGTATTCAGTAGGCATAGATAGATCAAATGGGTTAATGGACTGAATCAGTGGTCATAGATAGATCAAATGGGTTAATGGACTGAATCAGTGGTCATAGATAGATCAAATGGGTTAATGGACTGAATCAGTGGTCATAGATAGATCAAATGGGTTAATGGACTGAATCAGTGGTCATAGATAGATCAAATGGGTTAATGGACTGAATCAGTGGTCATAGATAGATCAAATGGGTTAATGGACTGAATCAGTGGTCATAGATAGATCAAATGGGTTAATGGGCTGAATCAGTGGTCATAGATAGATCAAATGGGTTAATGGTAGTATTCAGTAGGCATATAAATTTCCTAAGATGGGTTAAGACCTGAATGGGTATTCAAGATGTATTATGATCTGAATCAGTGAATCAGGCTGTATCAATGGACATGAAAATCACAAGATAGACATAATTTACGCAAGATGGGCTGTATAAGCTCTCTTGTAGCAGCTGGAGCCACCTCTTAAACCTACAGAGTTGCTGCTGTAAATATGTGGCCAGTTGGATTACTGTAGAATACTTTAATTTAGCTGGAGCTCAGGACATCAACATACCAATAAGCCAGTAACCCGAAAACATAGGGGTGAGGGCACTACTTTTCAACATATTAACTTGACAGGAAGGACATCTTAGGGCACAGGAAATGTTTTGTCTTTTGTAAAGTCACATACCTCTGCAGATTCTCTCTTCCTGACATCGTATGAAGTCCCATATACGGACGGTACCATCGTCAGAACACGTAGCAAATTTGTTGTCAGTTGGACAGAAACTGTTGGTAAAAGAAATAGAGGATTTCTGATGCGGAGATATGTCAAACTGACTTCTCCAGTTATCAAGGCTTCCATGATTGGTCTTCACTCGTTCCAAGCTATTGTCAAGACCCACATTGGCAAACTGAAACTGACACAGAAGTGCAAGACACTGGCAGAATGGGGCCTGTTTTCATATATGCTTAATGTCATATATATATACTTAATTCATTGAGGAATATTTTTTAAAGGGCACTTTCAGGGAATTTTACTATAGCCACTGATGTTTTTCTTACTCTTTTCACATACTCGTGATCTTAGCAAACAGAAGCCCTTATAAGGAATGATAATAGTGGAGAAAAGGTTGACTGAGAAGCAGCTCAGTGATTAGTAGTGAGCTTGGTGGGTCGTAGACAGCTCAGCTCGTTTGTACAAAATCAGACAACTCGTGCAGAGATAAAAAAAAGCAGCCTCAAGCTCTTTATCCACAACGGAAGTACCTATACACCAACTATTATTCAGAAACACATAAATGTCACTGTCTAAGTCTTTGAAAAAAAAATGACTCTAGATATGACAAATAACCAACTGAAGTGGAAACGTTTATTGTATGGTATCACTGGAAAAATGATCTTCATTTATGTGGAATTGCCACATGTTAGGACTGGTTGTGAATGCAATGCATTCAAATATCAGCAATGAAACCTATATAGACATCGAACATAATCACAAAAAATATTCACACCATTATGTCTGGTCTTTCTGCATGAGAAATGGGTAGGCTACATAAATTTTGAATCAAAATCATGAAAATACATGATGTCGATCAGTATCCGACCCATGGTTGTCAGCCAGCCACCAGTCCACCCACCAAACAGACTGACAACTTTGATTTTGAACTGGCAACTTTTTCCCCATTTTTTTCCTATTGTTCTTTGATAATTTTACCAAAATATATCGGAAACCATCTACATTTTTATGAAGTTGAATTGTTTTGGACTTGCAGTTGCAAATTCCTGGCTAATAGGCTGATCCGACCCAACCGCAAGTAAAGCCAACATGAAGTTTGAAGGAAACTGGACGAGGTACATCAGAGAAATAGTTAAAGATATGTTGAAACAAATGTGCAAATGAACACCATTATTACATGTCTTTAGCAAAATACATTCTAGAAAATGATCAAGGATGTATGAAACTAAAACCAACATGGCCGCCAGTCACAACCAAATCACAAAACAAACTGACATGCATCAGTAACCCACTATGTGTGACATTCATACGAAGTTTGAATAAAATCTTCTAAAGAATGCCAAAGAAATTTGATAACATTTTCAATTTGTGTGATTGTCTTTTTCATGAAAATGAATGCCAATTGGTTAAAATCAGAATCCAAAAATAACCAAAGAGAAAATGCAAGCCACTCTTTCCTGCTTTGTACCAAAATATAAACATAATCTGTAAAAGTTGGTCTGAGTGACAGGATAACATGGGGAAAAAACAAAATGGCCACCAATGTGCCATTTTGAATAAATCTGGAAACAAAAATGAGGGAAATAAGAAACTCGCTATGTGTAGGGTAAATCTCGAGTTTGAATGAAACCACCAGACAAGACAAAGAAAAACTGACAAAACTGGTCACCAGCATATTGGAGAAAAAACCTCTGTTGAACTGAACCCAAAGCAATACAAATGATGACAATCAGCTGCTATAATGAATAACCAAGGACAATTGAGCGAAAACCGCCTAACAATAACTCTCTTCAATCCACCTTATGTAAAATATAACAAAAGACATTGCAGCACTGTGCAAAGTCAATTTGAAAGTAAGATCGGACTTGTACCCTGCCTTTAGCCAGCAGAAAACTCAACTTTTAAACTTTCTCAACCATGACTGAATATGTTAAGACACCAGCCTAAATATAGATAGGCGATTAATACATCTGCCAGTTCAGTTTCAGCTTACACAATATGGGCTCGATCTGACATCACCATCACACATCTCTGTAGGGGCAGTAGGGCGTTGAGGGGGGGTGGCATTAACCACAATACATAGTAGTGTTTCAAGTGAAAAGAAACCAGGTACAGGTACAGGTACAGGTACAGGTACAACAACCTTTTGTTTTCAACTCCCAAGCTGTACAATGACAAATAAGTACAGAATGACAATTTAACATTTTAGCATAAAATATTTTCTTTTTCATTTTTGGGTGAGAACAATAACTACTGTGTACGTACCTGGTTTCTTCAGTGTGTAATTGTGCAAAGGGTTGTCTGGGGCAGGTAGGGCTAAATTGCTCAGACATAGAGTCCTTCATGACCACAACTGAAAAGTCTGGATGGAATGAAACTTGTTTTTTTTTAAGTTAAAGACAAATATATGTAAATATATGCACAGTCCAGATATATTAACTGATATAGACATAATTTGGACAAGAGTTGGGCTTTTGAGGTTAGGCCAAAACAAATTATGTGGTTCTGATAACATGCACTTTAAAAACAGATAGGGCAGGTCAGATTAACATTTTGTTTTCATCATGCATCATTAAACTGTACTTCCTTAGTTAACTACAAACTTGTTTAATGATCTTCCTACTTTTCCAAGTTGGTCAAAATTTCGTAAAATACATTCAGTCTCATTCATGCCTCTTTGAATTTTTTGTGATTTTGCAAAATTTGTTTTGTTTGGCCAAAAAAGGTTTATTTTCAGTTACGGATGGGGTTATTGGAACCACACATTTTTTTTTTATTTGGGCCTAAGAGTCTCACTAGATAAAAAGGTTTCTTCTCAATAATAAAGATGAGCCAGTAGTTTAGATTTAAAAGGGAACGACTGAAATTTGTTGATAATTTTAATTTAACAAGATGATCAACAGGATAGCAGATTTAAACCGTATTGGACTTTGCATACAATTTCAGGGCAAAAGTAATCGGTAGTTGTAAGCTCTTAGCAATTTATCGGGGTAGGGAGGGGTGAAAAAGGCAGTTTATTTATTGAGGTAACTTTATTAAACAAATAATTATATGCTAGATGTGTACTTTATTTTATCTCTTTTATTTCAAATCTATAACTTTGGAAAATGTAATCTTTATTGAATATATAATTTCATCTTTATTGTTCACAAAACAGGAGAACTTTATTTGAAAAATGCTCAAAATTCTGTGAAACAGTATTGCCCTGTGCATGTCACTGCCACGTCAGCTCAGCAACTGTATTTTATTTCATCTATGCTGACGGGCAAAAAAAAACAACCCCTTTATTTATAAACATCCATTTACACTTAAGTGTCATCAAAGTTATTGGCTTCTTTAAACCAGCAAAGAAAGATTGGTATATTTTGTCAGAATATAAAATTCTATGTAAAAATAAATATTTTATGTATTCATAAATATAATATATAAACTATAACTTCCAGTTAATAATGAAGGGGCTGACGTGTTCATGTGAAATTGTTGGCAGTATTATGAGGTCTTAATTTCTATGAACTCTGCATGTTCCACTGACTAATTTATAATGAATCTAGTGTGGAATTCAAATTTGAAAGTCGTGGGTTCCCATTTCAACACACTGACAACCACAGCGACACCATATTATGGAAATAAAATTTGTTTTACAATGTGCTTCCGGATTAAATACCCAAATGCAGAATTTGCTTCTGCTTAGAAGCTTGATAAATTTTGATGACACTTTGTATGAAATAATTGGCCACAGATATTACTAATAATAAATATTGAATGTAGTAGTAGTGTGTCCTACTGATACAAAGCACGTCATATGACTGACTCATTAGTTGAGTTGTGATCATGACGGAATCCCACCTTGCCTCACGAATTGGTTCCTTGTGAGCTTGAAACATCTTGACATTGTTCATGTTTGATTGCCAGTATTTGACATAGCCAGCGTGGTCACCCGTCAACATCCACATGTCGTTGTGGCTCCAGGTCATCGTACGTACCGGATATTCGTGAGCCTGAAGGTGAAAATACAGGGATAAACACAGGAATGAGCATTGATCACCGAAACATGCCATAGATGAACACTTCATTACAGTTGAACCCAATTGTATTTGAAGTGTAAATGACAGTAGTCGAAATACCCCAGTAAAACACCGTATGTAGCATAGAGTAAACGCAATTGTGTTTTTAAGTGCGCAGTTTTGCCATCTTGAACTTTCTTTAATTATGAAATCCTGAGTAATAGTTCTAGAGAAAAATGTAAATGTTGCGGTCATAGTGCACGTCAGTTAAAACTGTGAGCATCTGTTTGCAACATTATTAACTTCGCTAAATGGTTTTAACGTGTTGTGTCATTTCTGTTTTGCAATCGCATGCAACCCAACCATTGAGTAAAGTGATCAGCCATGTTGCAAACAAGCGAGACTAAGGGTATTCAGATATGTTGCTCCCACTGTAACATGGTAACTAAATTTTTTTTCATTCCATATGTTTACAGGCATTGCGCTAAGCATTGCTCAAGATAGAGAACTAATCAAAGGGTCCTGATCGTCGGCTGTGCCAGATTCGATATAAGAACCATATTGACAGATACAAAACATGGGGGAAACCCTTCATCTAACAATAAGTTACAGAAAATACTGGTTAGCCATGGTGAAAACAGCAGAAAACGGTGATTGTTTTCAGTATGTTTTAAAGTATTTTCGCTTTGATTCAATGTACTTAACACTTTACCTGTAAAATAGTTTCAAAGTTGAATGTTAACCCATTCCACAGGGTGAATTCACCACTGGAAGCGCCAGTAACCAATCTTCTACCCTCTGGTGTCCACTGTAAAGGTCAAGAACATTCAGGCACACGCATTACATCAAAGACGTATCAGAACAGCAGTTACAGTGAAATGGTGTGCGAATTAATAGTTTTTATTGTATTAACAGTATAATAAACTTAATAAAGACAATACTTCAAGATTCCCTGGGCTTTCTGATTTATGTTATACGTTACATACTGCAATAATCATGTCAGTTTATGTGCATCAGAACGTTTACTTAAATACACTACATATATTGATGTTCAGGTATAAACTTGTCATCATATGCACTATACCTACAATACCAATTTTTCACATTACAAAACTTCTCAACACTTGTATCAGTGTTAGCACCATTTAATTATTGCGATGCGCCTATGTCTAATTTAGGCTTAATGCTTACTATAAGCCGACCCCCAAGATTACAAGATCGTGAAAACTGAAAACTAGCGGCTTTCATACTTTAGATGAAAATTGACGATTTCTTGGAAAAAACAAACAAAGGAACCGTTCCCTGGTTTCATTTTTTTTAATCACAAGTCAGTGATAAGCAGTGTGGTTTTAAGTAACATGAACAACAAATTTATCAATTTATACTAGAAATACTATTATTTTTATGCTAAATATCAGCCAACAGCATTTAAAATCTAATGCAATGTAACCCTTGTCACACACACACACACACCCCCACCCACACAACTGCCTTATTGGAAGGTTGAGAGGAGATAAACCAAATTAAATATTAACCCATAGACCATATCACAATTCCAAATTTTAGTGCATTAGTGCAATTTGACTGAATCATGAAGTGATCAAACATAACTCCACCAATCACAAAGCATGCCCACTTGGCATCCAAGTGGGCAACAATCCAATGCTGGCCTTGGAAGAGAAAACAGGCAAGTTTTATTCTGAAATTACGTTTTTATACAACTGAAGTTTTGTGTCCATTCTCAAGGACATAAACAAGCAGCCTGTCGGCTGAGATAGCTCCGCTGTTAGCAATGCACATGGCAATTAAAGAACAGAAGATATCATTAGAAAATGAACAAATCTGAGAGAGGTCCACATGTATTACCAATATGTATAATATATCAAAGCAATTGGACTTACGGTTTTCAACAAGAAGTCGAAAATATCACTTTTTACCAAAAATTACAAAAATATTCATCAAAATTAGAGAATTAAAGATATCATCATGAAATGAACAAATCTGAGAGAGGTCCACATGTAGTACCTATATATGTAATATCAAAGCAATTGGACTTGAGGTTTTTAACAAGAAGTCGAAAATATCACTTTTTACCAAAAATGACAAAAATATTCACCAAAATTAGAAAATTAAAGATATCATTATGAAATGAACAAATCTGAGAGAGGTCCACATGTAGTACATATATATGTAATATCAAAGCAATTGGACTTGCGGTTTTCAACAAGAAGTCGAAAATATCACTTTTTACCAAAAATATTCACCAAAATTAGAGAATTAAAGATATCATTACAAAATGAACAAATCTGAGAGAGGTCCACATGTAGTACCTATATATGTAATATCAAAGCAATTGAACTTGCGGTTTTCAACAAGAAGTCGAAAATATCACTTTTTACAAAAAATGACAAAAATATTCACCAAAATTAGAGAATTAGAGATATCATCATGAAATGAACAAATCTGAGAGAGGTCTACCCAAGGTACATATACACCAAGTATCAAAGCATTCAGGCTTGTAGTTTTCAAGAAGAAGTCGAAAAAGTAAAACATTGACACGAACGACGACGGACAATCACTCATATGATAAGCTCCGCTCGTCAAAGTCGACAGCGAAGCTAAAAAGTAATGACATTTCATTATTTTTGTCTATTTCCAGATTGTGATGGCACTTTGTTGCTTGATTAAATAAGTATCTCAATTCATACATTAGTAACACCTATGAATGTTAGATCAAATTTTTGAGCATTCTGGATTTAGCTTCAGAGAAAAGCTTTAATAGTAACACACTCGCACCCCCCTTCTTTTTTGTGGTATAAAAATGGAATAACAGAATTTCACTTTTTAAATTAAGCTGTGGTAGTTGTTTTGATTACATAATCCCTACAGGTTGACCACAATATTTCTCAATATTTTATAGAGTTTGAAGCAAATAAATGAACCATATTTATCCGGGTAAGAACCCATGTCCAGACAAGCACCCACACCCCAATTTTGATACAATAAAGAAATATGCCCAGGGGGTCTTTTTCTCAACTTGTAATAAAAAAATATAACAAAAACCTATTGTTTGTTCCTTGTATTAGCAGTTGACTTCCTTGCAGTCTGTTGTGAATTCTAATAACGCAAAATAGGTGTGTGACAGCAAAATAGGTAATTTCACGTTCTGCCTTCAGGGCAGCATGTTCACCGCTGTTTACTTAATTTACATTTACTTTTCAAAATTTGTTATCAGAATCATAACAGTCAGCAAGTCTACAAAAATGTATATTAAAGCAGAAACGGTAGTTCTCATTTTAAAATATGTTGTGGCCCTGAAAAGGGCCGGCTGTTTGGTTTGTGCAAATCTTAAAAGTATATGGAGAGCCGCGAAGCAAGTGTCAAACTTGTTCGGCTTTAGTGCATCGTGTTGTCAATTTTTCACAAATTTTCTTTTCTTTTTTTTGCAAGGGATGTCCGGGCAAAGACCCACCCCTATTTTTTGGCAATTTTCCATGTTCAGGACCCTGGGCTCTTGCCTGGATAAATGTTGGGCACACATACTGTATTTACCCATGTGCTTATATACATATTACTGACACAAGTGTGTCTATTGTCAAGTCATATTTTAATGATATATTATACAATTGTTGGCTCATGTATTGGAATGGTGTTTGCAGATACACTTAACTTTATGAAACTTACAACTTCACTGGAGTATGTCAATGTGAATAAAAGCACACCTGCAACTCCTCACATCTTGTGTATTTAGGATCAACGCTGGTGGACAAATTTTCAGACGATTGGACGGACAGACAGATGGACAAACAAATAGTGTTGCAATGATACAACTCTAACTTAAGGTTTTACTCTACCACATGTTGATAAATATGATTTTTATTTACCCTCACAACAAATATAGGGCATCTAACTTTATTGGTTGACGTTCTGACAAATTTTGTAGTGACAGCATTGATGGGATTATGCACCATAGCACACGGAAGCATCATCTGGAAATAAGTAAAACAAGATAGTTATGATTAAAAAATCAGTGAGACTGAAAACTGTTCAGTGATATTTTCGATACTTGAGCAGTACAAGAATTCATTGATGACAACATAGTACAACTGTATAAAACTAGCCTTGTGCAAACAGGAAACAGTTTTCCTTCTACACGGTCCTCCATAAACTGAACTCCTCAAGTCCCAATGTAGTTTGGTTCAGGACAGTTAATACTACAAGCAGCAGTGCATCCTTTACCAGGGCTGATTTTGTAGGGATCCAAGAGTCAAAATGAAATTCCCATGAATGAAGCCGAGTCAAATTGATTTCTCAGGAAAGTGGTCTTCAAGACGCAACTAAAATTGTAAGTGACTGTATGTAACTTGAGACAAAATAAAACAAAAATGTTGTGGCTGCTGATTTCTTTTGTTTTTACACTTATTTTTTTTTTAATAAGTGAATGTAGTTTTACTAAATTACAAATTCTGTGACTCTAGTAAAATGTTTTTCAACATCACTGCAGCAACATTTAACATTTTGACATCAATTGCATCGACACAGCATGCGTCAGTGACACGTCATTTAAACAATAATGAATAATTCTGAGCTTCGCGATTCATTTTATAGGTTACGTATAATTACAATGATCACTTCAGTTCAGTTTACGTGCATCAGAACGTTTACTTAAATACACTACATATACTGATGTTCAGGTAGAAACTTGTCATCATATGCACAATGTATCATAGAAAAACCTTTTCTGAGCAGACAATGTCAATTTGTAGTAGCAGTACAAAACTCTTGAAAAACAGCTATTTGTATCAGTGTTAATAACATTTATAGTGGAAGAATCGAGTCCCAAGCGAAGATATACACGCTAAAAATGCAAAGGCTCATGGGTAGATGCTTGTTTGTAAACAATGACACGCTATGGCCATCTGACGCATGCACAGGTGACGACTCCCTGCTTTAATTAATTGAACTTCATAAAACTTCCCCCGCCCAAAAGTTGGTGTAACATTTTAGCACATTTTCATACAAATTTCTACCATTTTTTGGTAAAGGAAGAAGAAAAAAATTCCATTGCCTTCTGGTCTTGGTCAAATTTTTCGATACAAAATACACACAAAAATAATGTGGGGTGACTTTTCTGGTCCAAGATTGTCAGTACAAAACAAGACAAGTTGAATTTACTCAACTAGGCGCTGTCAAACTTTGTTTACCCCACAACAATGAGAAACAAGTCTAGGATCATTGTTTTTACCCTATGCCACATTGGACATGTACACAAATACTGTAAAACATGTTTTCTTTCAATTATTATGTTATTTCAGCTTAGATTTCAGTGTTCTCCCAAGACTTCATGTCAAGCATCAGATAATTTGCATAATAATGCATCTAATTTGCATGATTTTATTTGCATAAATATATTGTCTTATTATCTTAGCCATTACATCAAAATCACCAACGAGATGTTTTTAAACTTTTGGTAAAACTAACAGAATGTCAATGTCAATTGGAGGCCGACATCCTGTGTGTATCATAAACAAATAGTGCCAGTCGGCAACTTGTTCTGGACGGAAATTCTGAGTGCTGGACGCTAGCGTCCAGTGCTGACCAGTGTGGGCAGATCCCTGCTAATTTTAAATAAAGTACATTCTCACAATGAAATTGTTGCGACTTTAAAGATTAAGATTCTGTTAAATCTTGCATTCGTCTAATTCACTGAAATTGCATTGCACGCGTTTTATAGTATTTGTTTAAGACAATATCTATTATATTTTATGTACTTACATCAGTTCCATATGAGTTATCTGGCTGAATGGCTCTTATATCACGATAATCACGCTGCCATGTACGATTCTACAAGAAAACAATTTTCAGATATTATTCATTTGGGATATGATAAATATTATCATGTGACAGTTGGTTTCAGGAAATAAAATTCAGTGAAATAAAATTATCTTAAAGTTATTCTTTGGCATCACCTCCAACTATATCAGACAAAATGGACGGCCCGTTTTTTGTTAGATCAGTAACCAATTAATTAATACCAGAATTTCATTAGGTGCCCCTCTTTACTAGCAAGTTCAACCCCTGTAATACTACTTGCTGTCTCTGATCATGGAGGTATACCTCCATGCTCTGATGTTGCTTGTGGGCGATTTGAACAGTCCTTTGGTTATGTACATTGCAACCAGAAATTAGAAATTTGTAAATCTGTAATCAGGTTAAGCTACCCTGTGACTAATTTGCATAATGAATGATGGCCAATTTGCATGTGCCTGTGGGAGTCAAAGGAGTACCGGTTTATGGAGGTTCAGTAAAACTTGTTGAGACCTTCGTTGTGTAAAACCACTTGTAGAACCATAAGCCTATACCATACTTAGATGAACAACCTTTTCTCACAGTGTACCATATTGAGACTCACCATCTGACAGTGAGTTAAATAATTTTCCGGTCTATAATATTCCATCTAAGCTCCTCAGAATTGCTAAGTTTAACACACAAAACAAAAGTAAAGATCAAACACTAAATATCCCAAACTCACCTCCAAATACTTTATACATGTTGCATTGTAATCTATCGTTCTTCTTTGTACAGCCTTTCTCATTCGCTTGCCATCAAACGATAGCGATATTCCGGGAGGTGTGCTAGCATGCCTGTAGAAATGCACTCTGTGGTGCTGTGGCAGCCGAGGCATATGAAAAAAACGCTGAGGTGGAGGTTGTGTGGCTATTCCACCATCCATCTTGTGATGTTCTTAATAACTTACCAATCAGAAAAAAGAAGCAGTGCTTTAAGAGAAAATAGGCAAAAGAATTATAAGTTAATATAATGAATTATATTATCTCCACAGGATAGATGAAAAATGCATATCACACAGTTTGAAGTCACATACTGCCCAACTTTATTTCGTTGTACATGTTGCATGAAGGTTGTTTGAAGGTAGGTATCATTTTCCAGAATTTCAGAAATTATTTTTTTTTATTTTCAATATCCTAAACATAAACCCATAATATGGTAATGATAGCTTAAAAGGGACATACAATCATAAATTCAACCTGAATCTCATTACTGTGAACGTAAAAGCAATGTGCACAGAAGCTCACTGTTTTGTTACATGCAAATAGCAACATTATAAAAGCTTACTATTTGATAAATATACTTAAATATGTTCTATTTATTTTGAAGCATTTGGACAATCGGATCATAGTGACACTGTTTCATGAGCCAGACAAAACACACACTGACTTAAAGAAAGTCAGAGACTGCGCACGATTTCTAGACATCTCGACCCAAATTGTTTTTGACCCAAGACACTTTGACCCAAATTGGACATCTTAACCCACCGCCTTGATCCGACCCTATCTTAATGTGGTGGCGTGAACATCTATCCAGTTCAACGTTGATAGTGACGCCCTTGCAAACATACTTGCAATCTTATAAATCAATTGATTAGAAACATCAAATCGATCCATAAACGCAAATCAACCGCCATATTGGCCACAACTGTTTAACGTAGTGACATCATTTTCAGGAGTTGCGTGCTGTGAAATGAACGAAAGCAGCAAAAAATAATAATTCAGTGAAACAAACACAGTGATCGGTGTGCACTGAAAAAGTATGACGCTATTTATCAAGATCGACCAGGTCGGGTCGAGGCAGGGGGTCGTCTGAGATAGGTGGGGTGAGATGTCTAGGAGGAACTGGGTCCAGCTGTCTAATGAAAATCAGGTCAAGACATCCAGCACACTCAGTGTTTTCCCCAGAAATGTTTCATAGAGTCGTGGCTAATTTGCATAATAATTAGCATAAATTAACATATTGTTTGTCATATGGGGAAATAAAACAAGACCAGTTTTTTTCCTTTTCCCTATTTATTTTATGTACAATCTGTATACAATTATTGCACTGCATGTTTAGTATTGCAAACGTCCTGCAGAAATACTGAGTTTTCTGTTTCTTTGCTTGGCCCAGCAATCAGCAACTTTATAAAACCCTGTTCGGTCCCGGTAAATTAAACATTGGGTTGATTATTCTCATTGCTTGTCTTCCGTTTCTGTTGTTTTCCAGTTAAGTACAACAACTGTTACGAGTCGCTATACTTACGCTACTATGTTCGAGCAATAATAGTTTTTCTTTATGTATTTTTTTTAATCATCGATGTTGTCTGTTCAACACAATTGTGAACAATTCGAGACAATGGAGGTCTGAATTACGAATTGTCACCATTGTTATACCACGTAAAATTCATTTGCATATGAATATACGTTTGGCAAAGAGCGTTTGACACCGGGGCTTACGGCTTTGTCTTTATCGTACTGCTTTGTTTTTTTAAAACAGGGGATTATCCTGGGAAATTGGCATTAATACAATGCATTTGTGGATTTAACTAGTTAGCCAGGAAACTTTACAATCTGTGAGAGACTGAAGAAATCAGATCACGGGATAAATAATAGCATCGCAGAGGACACACATAGCATCGCGGGCAAAGGAAATTTATACTTTTGTCCTATCTGTTGACCAAGTGTTGCTGTGTTCGTGAACTGCTCATCTGCTATCTTGTAGTATAACGAGGCTATACTCAAAGACGGACCAGAACAGGATTTTTTTGTTAGCGTGGGGGAAAGTTGGTTAGCGTGGAGGAAATTAATCCGATAATTCATTGTCTATTCTTATTTGTGATTGGCCGTGGCAATGTTTACGGAAACATGACAGAGGTCCGCCTTTGACAATATCATTTGAATGCTGTTAGAGGATGATAACTCTTGTTTACATGTGCTTGAACTCAGGGTTGAGACCAGCACTTTGACTCTGAGCTAAACTAACTTGTGTCGAGACAGTGTTAATCTGATTACACCTGTTTTTTAATTAGTGGGTTAAAATAAACTAGGGGCCGAGCTCTGCATTTTGCTACACATGTGAACACTATAAATGTAGCTGATGATTATTATAATTTGAGCATGATTGACATTGATTACTCAAACTTGTCACCACCCAGACAGTGTTGATAAACACTCAACACCCGAGCTATTTGTATTTCGTACATATAAAACGCGGCGTTCTTTATGTGTCAACGAACACCTTCGCCTAATATTACAAAATCACATCACTGTATAAGAATTAACTAATAAATGATTTCATTTGTTGTCCATTGTGATAATTCGAAAACAAATGTATCAGTCATTTACTTATCAAAAAATTCAATAAGCGTGAAAACCCTGGTGAAACAAACACTTATGCCCGAACAATGGAAGAGACTTTCTGCCTATATTAGGCGATCGAGTTACAGCCGACTCTGGACCTACATCTCTGATTTTTCGCTAAATCGCAGCCCACCACTAATAGCATAGTCAGGAATTGAAATGCAAATGAACTCCGGGTTGATAGCCCATTTCAACAAACGTTCGACGTCGTTAGTGCACTACAGATTCACCGAATTAAAAAAAGATAGTTCATAATAACTGTCTACACTGTTAAATGTAACCCAAACATACTCACTGTGATTTTAAGAAATTCTTTCCTCGAAGAATAGTATTGTTACTTCATTTACCTCCAAATTAGGTCATAGTTACTTGAAAGATATCTGAAAATAACTATGATAAAAAGGCACGTTTCGCCGCCATCTTGCCGCAAACGCTAGTCTTCGCGCCAGTCTCGGTAACAATCGGTAACATTCGTGAATATGGATTGTTCCATTTTGTTTTTAGGGAATATACTTTTAATACATAAAAAAATAAACATAGTTTAAAAGAAAATTAAAGGCAATATTAAAATTGTAAACTAAAAGTACGCTAATTATAAAATTATGCTAATCATAATTTTGTTATAGTTTAGCTTAAATAACAGCAAACTTAGCAGGCATCATGAACAAGATTTACCTCAAATTCGGAATAGATCAACCAATTTACGAATGTTCCCGAAGTGAGCGGAAGCCAATTAAAAAACCTCTGTCAGTTTTGTCGGGAGCCATATTGTGTTTTGCGTCGGAGGTAATATTGCTGTTCTACCACATTTTTGCTACAATCTTCACCGCCCAGTGCCGTCTTGAACCATTTTAACCAGGAGAGAGATTTCGGTTTAATTGTCGTGTGTTGGTATTTTATATTTACACAATGAATAATCTAAAAATTGCCGTCGTATGTTCAAGTAACCAAAACCGAAGTATGGAGGCCCATGGCCTTCTTAGGTAAGATCAAAGAACGGAGTTCAGCTGGACTCTTATAATATTTTTTTTGGAATACAAACTTGATTATTTTCTCAAAATAACTATTATTAGAACAGTCAAACAAATCAATAATCGGTGAGATTCAAATTATAGATTTATAAGTGTTTATTGTCACGGACATTTAAATCACACCTGTATATTATTGGTTAAAATATAAACCGCATTCGACTGTCCAAAAGTAATCCTGTTCATTTAAAACTTTAGTTATACTCTGTAAGCTCTTTGTTGGTCGCTGTTCTTTTACTGTTGTATTTTCTTCAGTCATGTAATGTGATTATTTTCGCATGAAATATTATTTTCTTGTGCTCGAAACCAGATTGTCCTTTTTGATTCCACGAATGACTGAAATATTGCTTCCCACAGAATTAGTTACATCCTTTTTTCTCTTCTGTTTACAGTAAAAAAGGATTCAACGTGAAGTCCTTTGGTACAGGTACACACGTGAAGTTACCAGGACCAGCACCAGATAAACCAAATGTATATGATTTTCAAACTACTTATGAACAAATGTACAAAGATCTTGAAGACAAAGATATCAATTTGTATCCGTGATGGGTTTTCACAGAAATTTATGTAACCACTAGTTAGGAAACTAATATTCTTGTTTGCATTGTTCTCTCTAAGTTGTATACTCTGTGGCATTATCAAGGTTTTGATTGACTTCAGCATTGTTTGTAAATGTTTTGAATGTATAGGACAGTGATGTAGTTTGATCTACAAAAAAATTTTAAATCTTGCCCAAACCCCTCGCCCAAAACTTGGTTACCTTGTCTCTCTAATCGATGTTATCCCAGTTGTATGTAGCATGATTCAAAATTGGCGTTCTTTTTACACCATTGTCAGATTTTGTAAGCATTTTTCAATGTGATGTAATAATTATCCTGTCTTTCAAACAATTTGTTGCTTCATTCATAAAATCACTTAGAGGGAATAATGCTTGTTTGTGTGCTAGAACAAGTGTGATTGATTGGGGCAGAGGGTATATATGCAGCCATGATTTTGGGACAATCACTGTGAGGGTGACTGTGAATGTGAGAGTTGGTGAAATTCAAGCTGCTTGTGCTAATGAATGAAGAGATCAATTTGTGAGTTTGCTCTACTTTTAGCCATCTATACTTTCAAACTAAATACCTATGCCTCAAATATTTATCAATTTTGTAAATTAAAAACAGTCGAGGCTATACAACATTCCACAACCATGTGACTTAATAACTATGTTCTGTAAGTATAATTGTGTTTTCTAATGTCTGTCAAGTCTACTTTTCTCTTTTCAGATTTTACTTGCGTTCTTTTTCAGGTTCAGGGCTCAAGCAAATAACCATTGGCAGCAATCCTTACTAGTTGACCTTCATGAAGGTCGTAGTACAGGGTTGTCTTTGTTTTTATTGTGTCTGTACAAATATATTATCTTATTCATAATAAAGTTCATTTGAAATGAAGAAATAAGTATATTGCTGTTTTATCCAAAGTATTACTATATTTACTGATATTCTGTAACAAATCACATGATCGTGATTTGATTGCATGAACAAGGCGGTTTTCATGATATACTGTATCCAGGGCTGCCTTCTGAAAAATATCGTCCAGTTGAAAGCAACAATTTCTATTCATGTTTTGATAGCTTAATTGATAAGATTCAGCAATCTGTACAGAATGCACAAGCACAGTGAAAATGCGTAGGGTTAACACCTGTTGAGCTGTGGTGTGAGATATTTGACAAGGGAGTTCCTAGTCTAGTTAAGTGAGGACTTTATAATGCTAAACCTAAAACAACTCTGATGTATTTACTTGTATATTTTTTTTTTTATTTTATCAAGTCATTTTAGCATATAGAGATAGTATGCAGACCTTTAATATTCCCATGAAGTTTAAGCCCTACAAATATGGTATTAAACGAATTTCTAGTATAAGTAATGCGTAAATGTCCAACTGGAAATAGTTATTTGGAAGTAAATTGTTGGGGATGACAGCCACCTTGATATTTTATAATGAAATGTTAGTTAGCCTCATGTAGTGGGTACAGTCTGAAACAACTTTGAGAACAGTTTGATAACTGTAAATTTGTATCCAGGGTTTCCACAGAACTTTTTGTTTTTACCCAAATTTGTCCCCATTAAGGCGCAATTTTTTTAATTAGATTATTCTTGATTTCAGAACTAGGTCAAATAAAATTTTAAGTACAGTATGTGATTGCATATTACAAAATGTGCAGGATTTGTAAGAATTGCCTTGTATTCACCACTGGTCTTAAAAATGAAGCTCGTAGGAACCTTGGTATTGCTGTCCCCCAAAAAAATCACAAGTTGCAGTTTGTGATAGTATTCTTGGTTTATTAGCATGTAGGATGGTAAGGATATTTGATAGTAGTGTTTAAAAGAAGTCGTAAATATTAGCTCTGCTGAATGATTTGGTTGAATCGCATTTGATAACTTACATCACACTAATAATGGCCTCATTCTGAATGGCAAATCCCAAATAATTCATGTATGTTCATACCATTTATATTGTCTAAGACTCTAATAAACCATCAAATTCATTAGCGCAAGCGGAACCCATTTGATTACCAATTACCAGATTCAAGTTTTGTTGACTTTGCTATCCTGAGGCTGAATTTTATTGTAGGTTTTTTTCAGTTGCTTGTAGAAGTCGCTTTATCCAAAATTTGGTTGATAATAAGTATAGTTTATTTGAGGATTGGAAAAAAATTAAAATCTTGATGCTATAGTGTTGTAGCTGTGGGTCCATAGAGCTTGTCGGTATTTAGGTTCTGGTGGTATTTTCTGGTACATTTGGTGTCTTAAGATATTTGATAATATCGGAAAACTTTCTTAAAAGACTCCAAGTGTACCAGAAAATACCACCAGGGACTAAATACTGAACATGAGTCGTGAACCTACAGTTATTATGCAAATCCTGCAGATTTGTGTACTTGAAATAATGGGGCAGGTGACTGGGTATGTGAATGTACTGTAAATACATTAATTGTTCAAAGGTTTTTAATTTCACTGATAAGTAAACTCCCCTAAATTAAATCCATGTGATAATGTAAAATAAAGAGAACTAGTATCCCTGCCAAGTTTGTGAACTTAAATTCCAGTAAAATTGCTCAAAACATAAAAATGGTGAGATTAAATGCCAGGAAAAAGTTGATGGTTTTACAGTATATTAGTTCCCCCATCACTTGGTTCAACACTTTGATTTCATCGTGTGATCATTTAAAATAACAAGAACTAGTATTCCTTCTAAGTTTGTGAACTTAAATTCCAGTAAAATTGCTCAAAACATAAAAATGGTGAGATTAAATGCCATGAAAAATATATTGGTTTCCCCCATCACTTGGTTCAACACGTCTGCAGGTGATCCCGCAAGGCAAAGAAAAAACAAATTTCCTTCCAACAAAATTCGCTGCCCAATTTACTGCAGTTAGGTCATGTGTCAGTATTTGTGTCTTCACAAGCATGAACAAGTTCAATATTCATGTGGTTTAGTGTAATTTACAGTAAAAATGCTTCATTTCCATGGCAATGAGTGTCTGTTTAAATCAGTCTTCAGTCAATGTAATCTGTTTACAGTCAGATTCTGACACAGCAATTTCCTCATTATGCTAACTTGATTTCCACATGAATATTGACTGCAAATTTTATTTATTTTCACCATTAACCCACTATCTGTTCAAGTCGATGTAAAAGTACATGTGGCTGGTAGGGAAGGGTTAATTTGAACCAGTTTCTGTTGAAGACTTAGCTGATGGGACAGCTATGATGTAAGGGAAAAGTTTTAGCTCTTGGATAAAATAAACTGAAAGCGGCCGTTACTTCATTTCCCTGTTTGTAAGGAAGATGTATGTATAGCCCCAGTACCATTCAAAACTCAAACTACGATGGACACAATGTGAAAATGAAGATGTCATGGAAAGCATAGCCCTGTGAGCCTGATGTGGAAGAACAGATTTTTTTTTTCTGGAGTTTTGAGCTGTGCAGTTTCAGATCTGAACTGGATGAATACAAGTGCTTATGACATTACAGCATCTTTCAATGTGCAGTCTTACTATTATATCCAGGTTTGTACATTTGATTGTTAAAGGGATGTAACTTAATCCCTTGGTATTTTATTCCCCCTTTTTCGTTGTTCTCTCTCGCTCGTTTTGATGTACTCTCTTCACGATTTTGTTTTCTTTATCTTTTCCTAATATTAAATTTAAATAAACTAAAATACATTGTAGAGAATAACTTCAATTAAAAAAAAAATAGAGCAACTCAATGCAATTTTGGGTGCAAAAATGTGAAATGGGTTGTTGATAGATTTGCCAATGTCTATCTCTAAGTTGTTTTCAAAGTGTGAATCCGGCTACGTAATTGGGGGGGGGCACGCTTTTGTCAGGTAGATTTGTGTAGTTAATACAATCATTAGGAACTTTACTAGACTCACTGATTGATCTGAGAGGAGACACTTTAATGCTTGGTTGAACATTCATTGAGTCTAATGAACATCAGGCCTAGTTATTCACATAACCATTTGTTTGCATGGGGTCAACAAATTGGGAGGGCCACCTAGTTCATCGAATATAATGTGGTACTATTGCAAACGCTGAGTAAGAGCTGAAGCACCCTGTCTGTCACATGTCAGATCATGGGGCAAATCCAAAACGTCTTTCTAAAATAGTTTTTTTGGGTGGTGGGTAAGCAGAATTCAGAAAGCTAATATATTTCTCATCGGACCATATATGGAAACAACCCCCCCCCCCCTCCCAAATGAAACAGATAAGTGCCCACACATTTAAACAGGGATGTCTGTCATTTAATAATTTTACAAGTTCTTCAAAATTTATAGAAATGCATATACTGCTATATTGAAAACAAAGTAATCAAAAAACTCTGCATTGACGTGTATGTAAAAAACATTTCCCCAAGAATTCTTTGTGTTTGACCGTTATAAAATACCAAACTAGCTTCTTTAATTGTGAACCACAATTATTTGTATTTGGCTCGTATCCTAATCCAAAATGGCTACCAAAGCAGTGTTTCACGCTACAATGAAGTCGTTGTTTTGTGTACTTGATGGAGCTTTGGAGATTGTTGTCCTCATGCTTCTGTTATGGGTTGTCGTTGTCACCATACTGAAATCTGGAAAACAACAATTTTTGAGGAACTAGTTTGAAATGTCATAACAAATGGATCAACATTTGCAATTTTAAGTTTTTATGGTAAAATTATTTCTACACATTTTTGCATAGTCGTATATTATTGGCAATAATCTTCAGTACACTGTAATGAAAAAAACAAAGTTAACTTTATCTTAGGCACAAAAGTAATAGGTGAATGAGAACAAAACTGAATATACAGTTAAAAATAAGCTGCTATTTTTGGCAAGCGAGTTTCAGATATGTAAAGACATGTCTTGAGTTAATGAATTAGTATTCATAATTAGTATTAGTATAAAAAAAAATGAGTTTGCACTATCAATACTATTAAAGTCAGGTGGTTTATAGATCATTTCAAAATACTGTAAAATGACTAATTT